ACACACACACACACACACACACACACACACACACACACACACACACAGAAACAGAGACAGACATAGACAGAGAGACACAGAGAAACAGAGACAGGCAGAGAGACAGACAGAAAGAGCAGGCAGGGTGGAGTCAGTTTGGGTCCTGGATCTGTGGGTCTGGATAAGTCAGTGAACACTCCGGGAAGGAAGATCCCAAAGCTTGAGCTTCACAGGAAGTTTACAGAACAAAGTGCACGCAGGAAAGGCTAGTTCTGGAGACACGAGGTCTAAGCGTGATGATTTATGTTGACACTTATCCACCAGATGTCAGCCAAGTGTCTCCTTTTAGCAAGGTGAGCACACAAGAAGTAGTTTCCGGAAGGGCTCCAGAAAAGGGTGCTGAGTTTCAGCTTTCCATCACTTACAGTCTAAGATGCCTTCTCACATCCGAGAAAGACAAAGAGAGTCTACTGCCAAGCTTTCTGCCCCTCATGGGACACCATATCCCCGGTCAGAACAAGCAAGTCACATGTTCTGTAATCGTCTATGTTTGCCTCTGTTTTTCTTGTAAGCCTGTGCCTCCCTTTGAAATCAGTAGTTTATATCCTCATTTAAATTAGGTAAACACACTGTTGTAAGTTAAATACTGCTTACAGGAAAAAAAGCCAGCTTCATCTACCCTCCCTGTTCTTGGTTCTATTCCTTGGAGGGACCAAGTTCAGGTCTTGTACTAACACCAGCCAGGGTTAGTGGTGTTTGCTGCTGTAACCATTAACCTCCCACAGAGGCATCCATCCCATCAGCAAGCGTCTCTTTCCTCCTCAGTGCAGGACATCAGGAAGAGAGTGGTCGCTCTTCACTCGCATAGGAACTCAGGCTCCGGCCACCATTCTCTGTCTTCACACCTGGCCTCCAAGTCTTTGCTGGAAGAAGAGGACGGATGGTGAAATGCTGGAGAGCTTTTAAGTTAGATCAGGAACCACTACCTTCTCATCACTCCTGCATCCTGCAGCTCAGAGCCCAGCACGAAAGGGTAACCTATGGCAGAGGAGCTGGGAGCCTGTGGTTTGGCTGAGTGCCCAAGGAGCATTGGAGAAGCATGGCACATTGTCCTCGTCACTGTGGGGTCGAAGACCTGGCATTTCTCTTCACAAGGCACCCAAAAAGCCAAATTTCAGATAACTATCTCTGCAAGACCCTGAATCCCGCAGCTGTGGGTTAAAGACATCCCCCCGGCAGGGCCACTAATGTGCTAGCTGCCCTGGGTCCTAGACGCAAGCTCCCCGACCCTCTCCCAAGAGGGGCTTTCCTTAGGTCCTGGTCTGAGTGCCTGAGTTCCTGGTCTTCTATCAACATCTCCATCTTACTGCTGGGGAGAGAGAGCAGCTGGCTCTGCTGGGCCCAGGCCCCCTCTGCCTGACCGCTGCTGTGCCCAGCCCCACCTGGCCTGACCGCTGCTCTTTTACTACACTTTTCAGAACCTTCCTTTGTGTTTTAGGCCCCCGGGGAATGTGGGGCCCCATCGCTGGGCAGCTGGCACACACGTACTGCAAATGCTCAAATCTGTTGAAACATTACTACCTTCAAATCTTGGCTGTTTCACTACGTGTGAAAACCAAGTCAAGAAGTCAACTTTCCTGTCAATCCTAATCCCTCACTCCATCGTGACCCAGAGATTGTCCAAATGTATTCTAATTTTCAACCCAAGACGTAGTTAACTTTTACAGTAATTGGTAGAGTAGGCAAAAATTGTTCGTCCAGCGGTACCTGAAGGTTTCGCAGCCCTGTGGAGCTTGGTTTTTAGGGAATGGCCTCACTGGGCATCCTTATCCATCCTCTTCCCATGATCTAAGCAGAAAGGTTCTCCTGACTCACGAGCCACACTGACACATTGTAACCAGTTGACACTCACCCTATGCATAGGTTCTACTCTGGTTTTAAATGAGAGATGAGCCCTTTGTCCTTCTATTCTGTTTATAAGTGCAACAACATACAGAATTCAAGCACAGAGTAGCATAAAGATAACAAAAGCCACCTTTCTATAATAAAGATTTTTTTTCTTCTACACCTCATATATGTACCTAGCAGTGAGGGGGTACAGAGACTGGCAAAGAGGGCACTCTTATAAGAAATGTACACAAAACACAGGTGTGCCCTGAAGTGCCCTGGAATAGGCACAGATTACAAAACGGAAAATGCACGGAGCGCTCGAGAAATTCACATGCCATCCTTATCCAGGGCTATGGTAATTTTCTCTGAATCGTTCCATTTTTAGTGTGTGTGCTACTGAAAAGAAAAAAAAAACCCACTCAAAATCTATGATGATGGCTTTCCATGTTAACAACAGATTATAGTTCCCTGAATATAAGATTCCGTTAATTGTTCACACCTCATCATTGCTCGTGATGAAGAAGAAAGGGAGGAGAGGACAGAGGGGGCAGGACGGCTGTTGGCTGGGGCACTGCACACTGCCTCTGTGTGGCCCTTGTCATGCATGGGTGTTCGCCACGAACTTCTTTAAAATACTTCTATTGGTATACAGTGCCTACAGAGCTGGACTCATAGAGAAATAAGCTTCCGGGTGATTCCCTCCAGCTTTCTGAAATGTGGCAAGCCGGTATCTTAGTGTTTTTGTTATGGTGGTCAAATGCTGGAGACTGGGTGCTTGGTGAAAAGATTTGTTTGCTTCTCTGCCTGGTGATTCAAGGACTCGGCGGGGGCACTGGCTTGGTCCTTGAGGGGATCTCATGGTACCATGATGGTGGGAGAGCATAGCAAAAAGGAGCAATGCTCCCCAGAGGTGGGGAGCAGGTTGTCCTCTTGTTATAAGAGCCGTCATCCCCCGGGGTGGTACTTACCCCCCACTGGATTCCATGTCCTAAAGACCCTGCTACTTGGGGAGTCCCCATGCTGGGGGCAACGCCTCCAACCCATGAACCGTTGGGAAGATGCTCAGATCCTACCCAAACCGTGGCACCCGCCCTCCATCATGCTCTACACAACCACAGTCTTTTTTTTTTTAATTAAAAAAAGTCTCCATCCCCTTCATGCATTTTATTTCTGCAATCTCATTTAGCGCCTGCTTGTTTCCTGAGAAGACGCATACCTGTGCTCCGTCTTCGGTGACGCACGTTTGCCTCAGCCATGGCAGGGCTGTGCCCTGCTGCTCCGCTCTCCCATCTTTGTGACTGCATTACAGGACTTTCCTTTCAATGCTGGATGCAGCAAAAACATTAGAAAGGGTTTTGAATAATAATCACACCCAGCGAATGTGGTACCAATGGGCTGTACAACTCACGATGGAGTTCCTGCATGTCCGAGCAGTTAATGGGCTAACCGCCCTATGAAAACGTATCCCAGAGGCAACGAAATTAGCGGTTAGGCAGCAAGTATCTTCATAATTAACATTTTATCTGATCTTTTCAAAGACAGTAGGCCCAGTCTGCACGGTTCTTATGAAAGTTCCTTTACAAAATGGCTGCAATCCTGTTCTAAAATATTTTTTGTCAGTTCAGTCGAAGTTCAAGGAAAATTGTCATTAAAAAGAGAACAAGTTCAATATCATAAAATATAGATAATTTATTAGACTTAAAAAATCTCATTGATTCTTTTCGAAATAAAAAATATTTTATGGAGATGGGTGTTTGGCCTGCGTTTATGTCTGTGTGTCATGTGTGTAGTAGTCCCTTCTGGGGCAGAAGAAGACCTCAGATCCCCTGGAACTGGAATTATAGAAGGTTGTGAGCTGACACATGGGTACTGAGAATAAAACCTGGGTCCTCTGGAAAAACAGCCAAGTGCTCTTAGAGGCTGAGTCATCTCTCCAGGCCCCTGCTGAGTCTTGATTTTTATATACTTGCAACATAATTTTATATACTTGCAACATAATAAAAGACTCTGTCATGGAATATTGCAAAGCTGTAAGTGGCTGAGTGCCTACAACCAAGACATCAAAAGAAGCATTCCGTTTTGACTTGGAGAGAGTCCTGACTGGGGACAACGGTTTAGTGAATTGTTCTTCTGGGCTGAACATGGGGCTCATTGGGACAGCCTAGTACGGTGAAGCTTTGGGTGGGCTCCCATCACCACCCACAGTCACAGGGAAACATGACTACGTCAGATAAGTAATTTAAATGAGACATGCCAAACACATGATTGCAATCATATAGTGCATCTCGGCATGCTTCCTGTAGAGGCTTCTCCAGCATGTAGAACGACACATGCATACAAAGGAATGCGATTCTACCTCAAATCCCGATAGTTTTGACAGAGATCTAAACACCAGCCCTGGATTTTACCTCTCCTGGTGGTTTGAATGAAAATGGCCCCATAGGCCCAAAGGGAGTGGCACTATTAGGTGTAGCCTTTTTGGAGTATGTGTGGCAGTTTTGAAGTGTGTCACTGGGGATCAGCTTTGAGGTTTAAGAAGCTCAAGCAAGGCCCAGTGGCCAGCTGTCTCTTCCTACTGCCTGTGCATCCAGATGTAGGACTCTCAGCTGCTTCTCCAGCACCATGTCTGCCTGTAAACTACCATGCTTCCTGCCATGATGACAATGGATTAAACCTCTGAAACTGTAAGCCAGCACTTACAGTTAAATGTAAGCCAGTTAAATGTTTTCCTTTATAAGAATTGCTCTGATCATGTGTCTTCACAGCAATGAAACCCTACAATACCGTTTAAGGAAAGGTATTTACACAACTATATATGTTAAAACAGACTCAACTAAGTTTTTTTTTTTGCTTCTTAACAGTTCTTTCTAGAGCCTCTAAAAATATTTACTTTAAAAAACCAGTTCAAAAGCAGAAAGACACATATGGTATATACTCACTTATATAGACCTATAAGATAGGATAAATATACTGAAATCTATACACCTAAAGAAGATAAACAAGAAAGAGGACCCAGGGTACAATGATCAATCCTCACTTAGAAAGACAAATGGGAAGGACATTGGATGTAGGAACAAACAAGTAACAGGACAGGAGCCTACCACAGAGGGCCTCTGAAAGACTCTACCTAGCAGTGTATCAAAGCAGATATTAAGACTCATAACCAAACTTTGGGCAGAGTTCAGGGAATCATATGAAAGAAGGGGGAGTTAGCAAGACCTGGAGAGTACAGGAGTGCCACAAGGACCAAATATATCAGGGCACAGGGGGCTTTCATGAGACTGTTTCTCCAACCAAGGACCATGTATGGATGTAACCTAGAACCTCTGCTCAGATGTAGCCCTTGGTAACTCAGTGTCCAAATGGGTTCTCTAATAAGGGGAACAGGGACTATTTCTGACATGAACTCAATGGCTGGCTCTTCGACCTCCTCCCCCCGGAGGGAGGAGCAGCCTTGCTAGGCCACAGAAAAGGACATTGTAGCCAGGCCTGAAGAGACTTGATAAGCTAGGATCAGATGGAAGGGGAGGAGGTCCTCCCCTATTAGTGGACTTGGAAAGGGGCAGGGAGAAGATGAGGGAGGGAGGGTGGGATTGGGAGGGAATGTGGGAGGAACCTATGGCTGGGATACAAAGTAAATAACCTGAGATGAATATAAAAAAATAAATAAATTTTTAAAAAATGTTAAAAAAATAAATAAATAAAACCAGTTAACCAAGACAGGAGAGAGGCCCATGGAGACCAGCCAGTGGGCAGTTGCAAGGCCACCTCCTCTCAGAGGCATGGAGCTGCTCTGTTCTCTGCTTTCAGTGGTTTCTCATTTTCCTCTTCCTCCTGCTCCTCCTCCTCTTTTCCTCCTCTTCCTCCTTTTCGTCGTCATCCTCCTCCTCCTCATCGTCCCCCTCCTTGTCCCCCTTGTCTTCCTCCTCCCTTCATATTGCTTGTTCACATCTTGAAGATTGGTTTGGGTGCCCATTTACCTTTCTAGACACAGGTTTGACACATGGTTTTGTTAATGGTCCAGGGCACTTTGCTGACAGTGCTGCCTGGGTTTTGTTTGTTTGTATGTTTTGTTTTTGGTCAACGTGACATCAACCCAGGTGTACCTGGGAAGACGGACTGATAATTGAGAAATGGCCTTCATCAGCTTGTCCAGTGAGCATGTATGTATAGTTGTTGGGGGAGGGCTCGGCTCCCCTAGGCAGGTGGTCCTCAGTTGTATGAGAAAGCAGGCTGATACCTATCCTAGCTTCCCTCCCATTCCATCTCTTGCCATGTTCTCTTCATCCACTTCTGCTGTCTATTCTATTTCCCCTTCTGAGTGACATTCTGGCATCTCCCCTTGTACCCTCTTTGTTACTTAGTTACTTTGGGTCTGTGGATTGTAGTACGGTTATCCTGCACCGTAGGTCTAATACCCGCTTATAAGTGAGTATATACCATGTGCATCTTTTTGGTTCTGGGTTACCTGACTTAGGAAGATATTTTCTAGTTCCATCCATTAGCCTGAAAATTTCATGATTTCTTAGTTTTAACCAACGTGTACCATAATTTCTCTATTCATGGGAGAATGGGGATGAGAGGTGAGAGGGCTGGGGAGAAGAAGGGAAACTGAGGGGGGACATCTCTTTGTCAAGCTGGAGGCTTGTGATAGTGTAGGCCCCTGGGAGGATATGGGTGTGACTCTAGCTGAGACTCCTAGTGGGGGGACATGAAGACTGAAGTGACCACCTCCTAGCCCGGCAAGACTAGTGGTAAGTGGGGAACAACAACCCACTGACAAACCTGTGATCCAAAAATTATCCTGCCTATAAGACGTACAGGGATAACGAGGAAACAAAGATTGAGGGCATGTCTAACCAATAATTAGCCCAACCTGAGACCCACCCCATGATAGAGAGCCAGCCCCTGACACTAATGATGATACTCTGCTTTCAGACTGGGGCCTAGCTTGACTGTTGTCTGGGAGACTCCAGCCAGGAGCAGATCTAGACAGATGCTGAGACTTGCAGCCAACCATGGGGCAGAACTCTGGGGAGTGGCTTGTGGAAATGTTGGGGGAAGGATAGAAGAACCTGGAGGGGACAGGAACCTCACAAGAAGACCAAAAGAGACAACTAATCTAGTCCCATGGAGGCTTTCAGAGACTGAGACATCAACTAAGGAGCATGCATGGTCTGGACCTAGGCCCCCCTGTACACATGTGCCCTTTGGGCGGCTTGGTCTTCATATGAGGTGCCTGGTGAATAGCGGGGACACTGTTTCTAACATGGACTCAGTTACCTGCTATTGGATCACGTTCCCCTTGGCAGAGCTACCTTGCTTGGTCCTTGCCTGGTCCTTTCCTGGTCCAGGCAAGGTATCTCAGGCAAGCATATCTGAGGATATGCTCAGTCCTGATATGACT